GTTTTCCATTTGTGTGTTTACACTTCTTTCTTTGCACAAACATAAGAACTGTGTAAGTTTTTCTGCATCTAGTTTCCTAACGTTCCATTTCGGCAAGTCCGCGTATTGTGGTGTTTCTTTGCGTCTATCGTAGATACTGAACGTAATATATTGATGGTCGCTTAAGGTTAAATCCTTTAAAACCGTCCAATTCATGTACTCGTGGCACAGACTCGTTGTTCCGAAGGTAATGTCGATGATGCTCCCACCATTTCCCCTTCTAAACGTAAATTTGTGTCCATTATTGAAAACAGTTAGACCTTGGCTGGCTCTCATCTCGCATAGTGTTGCTCCTCTATTGTCGAGAATAGATGAGTTCCATTCCGGTGATTTGCTATTGAAATCTCTTCCGATTATAACATCGTGTTGCGCTGTACTAATAGAATTTTCCATGTTTTGGATTATGTTTACAAACGAGGGGAATTCTACACTTGGTGGTATATAAACGCTGTAGATGCGAAGTTTATTCACTGTTACATAAACAAACCCAAAGTACTCTTCACATACGTTCCTTATGTTAAGGGAACCGTTCCTTATCATAATAGCAGCACCATGGCTTTTGTCTTCGTACCATGATTGTGTTGGTAAATTCTTATATGGTTCGCTTATTAATAGTATGTCTATATCAGATTCTGCCGCCTTTTGCATCAACAAGTCTTGAGCTTCTCTACCTCTTCCTAAGTTTATTTGGAGAAATCTTATAGGCATGTTGTTCCTTTTCGATTTTTTACGCATATATTGCTGCCTAGATAATGCTGGGTATTTATTGCACCAGCTTCTTGGCAAAGTGTACAATTTAGCTCTCCGGTACATTCCTTAAATTTATGGCCTGGCTTACTGCATTTTCTGCACAGGTCAGATCTATCCTCTCCTTGGCATTGGGTGGCAATATGGCCTTGTTCCAGGCATTTAAAGCATTTTAAAACTCTAGCTTTAACTCTAACTCTGCACATTACCCAGCCTATTTTAATCTTACTACGCTCTATAAGGGTCGATGCAAGATGTTCTGGTAGTTGAACAAGGGCCTGTTTAGTCCGACCATAGGATTCCCTTGTGTTTAAAACTTTAAAGACATTTGTGTCCACGCTCTTCGTAGCATCCTGAAGAGCTTTCAGTAGTTCAGGTTCGTCGGTTGCCTCGTCCATGTCTCGTATGTCTATCATCCGGTTGTTTGTAACAGTTCTAACCGTGATATCTTTTCCTAGAGATTGGCTTATTGCGTTCTTGAGCTTTTCTGCCTGGCCTTCTCCTTTGCTCAGCTTGAGAAGTAGCTCGCCTGCTTTAGTACGTCTTATACCATTTATCTGGACTCCAATTTCCGTAGGGTTTATTGTCCTCTTCATTTCTTTAATAACATCAGCATAGGATTCGGATGAAACAGTTTTTATTGCTAGTGCTTCTCCTTTGTCATGAATTATACTTCGTTTTTTTGTTTTTTTCTTCTTTTCCTTTTGTTTTTTGACTACCGTCCAATCATCTCTTTTTTGGCCGATTGTGGGGTCAGGTACTTCTTGTGTAGGTACTTCCTGTGTAGGTATTTCTCGTGTGTTTTCTTCCTGTGTATGAAGTTTTATCTCTGCACTAGCCTGTAGTGTTGCAATAGTCGAGTTATTTTTTGCTTTCTTCCTTTTCCTATCTTGTACTGGGGATTCTGGTGGGATCTCTTCCGTTCTCGTTGTATTGATGTGGTCTGTCTGTGTTGTTGCTGTGTTTACCAATTTCATGGGTTTCACGCTGGACATGATCGCAGACAGTTCGTTTCTTTGTTCTTTCAATTCATGATATAGTGCAAAAGCACAAATAAGATTGTTACGTACAGGTTTGTGAATATTATTAGCTTTATATGCCACTTTAAAGGCAATGGTAAGTTTTTCGCCTAACTGCTTAAAGGTTTCTTCCTCGGCCTTTCTAAGTTCAACAATTTTATCTAATTGGTTGACATTTTCTGTAACTCTATTTGAGTTCTCCGGCTGAGGAGACTCCTTATTTTCCTCATCACTTATGGGCTTTGTGTTAACCTCGCTTGTGCTTTCAGGTGGACTTGTAACATTATCTGCAGTCTTAGCCAAGTCTTCCAAAACAGCATTACGGTCGCAGGATATCGACGCCTGAGGGCCCGCTTGCACACCCTTCAAAGCCGCCGGCACTGGAGTTATTAATTCCTGTGCAGTAGTTGTTAATTGATTATTTGACATTTCGATAAAGTAAAGGTTTTGCGTTTTAGACCTTCCGCCAGGAGTGAAGTGTTCGGCCGTCCCTAACATGGGTTCAGACGCCGACCAGGAAGCCGCCCAATCTGGGAACCGTCGCGCCTGGGTTTTGGGAGCAGTATGTACGATGGATGCTTTCATACATCTGCATAACATCAGGGACCGCGGGGTCGTTACACCCGTTATCCTCTCCTGAGGATATCCTTGCGGGTACTATAGACTAGACTATAGACTAGACTATAGACTAGACTATAGACTAGACTATAGACTAGACTATAGACTAGACTATAGACTAGACTATAGACTAGACTATAGACTAGACTATAGACTAGACTATAGACTAGACTATAGACTAGACTATAGACTAGACTATAGACTAGACTATAGACTAGACTATAGACTAGACTATAGACTAGACTATAGACTAGACTATAGACTAGACTATAGACTAGACTATATAAAAGTACTAAATTACTGAATTTTTCAGACCAACCTAATGCTAAATGAAATGTACTAAAGTACACAATTTAAGTTAAACTTAATATTTAAATGTTTTTGTTTCATGTTTTCATATCGTCTCAGACAAAAATCCATTATAATACTTAAAAAGCTTGTCTTGTTAATTTTTTGTTAAGTTTTTTTTTACGCAGTTAGTTGCTGTAAGTAAAGTATTACGTTCTTTTTCTTGTGTACTTCTTTTGTTGGGGAGAAACTATCAAGTTACACATTTTGCTTTTCTAGATTTTTTGCACATTTAGCTTTTTTTGTATGTGTTTTAATAATTTTTAAGGGGGCCTATGTAAATTGTGAACCAGAGGCGTATTAAGATTGTGATATTAATTTCAATAATTTGTCACCAATACTTGATAGAAAAAGCTTAAATTTGCTAAAGATTTGTGTTACAAATTGGCCACTGAGTTTGCGGTTTAGGAGAGGAAATTTTTTATTTTTCTTCCCAGTTAATCCGCGCCTGTCTGCGTGATAATTTACTTCATATGTTTAATATAAAATGAAACACGTGTAGTAGATTATTTCTAACTTTTAATTAACAAATAAATTTTATGTTTACAGACAGAGATAGGTTACTCATTTCTTAGGATCTTTTAAATGTATTAAATTTGTATTTATATTCGGAAACTTTTATAATTTGTTATTTAATTGTTTAAAAATGATAAACACAGTTAGGTTTAGGGAATTTTGTGTTAGACGTGTGTAAAAAAAAGATATAACAACATTAATTTCTTTATTAATGCCTATCGTATCAGTAATTAGATACACACGCTAAATAAAGATCTAAATCATAAAAGTTATAATTTTAATAGACAGCAACAAAGTGTAAATGGCGTACTTTTTTGTTGGGACCAAGTAGTTTGATTGAAAAAGCGATATTTTTTTTAATTGTTTTAATTAATTTTTTTTTTTTTTTTTTTTGTTTGTATGGTGTTTAATTTCATAATAAACCTTCAAGACATTCAATAGGATTCGATAAAACTAGAATATTATTTTAAATAAGATTTTCTAAGCACATCTGTAACTTTGGAATATACTGGTTAACTGTTTTCTATTTTTAAACGGACTCAGTTTGTTTAATGCCCTAAAACATTTGAAAACAAAATAGAGAGGTAACAAAATCAATTTATACTTTCTGGGTCCGTCAAATGTTTATATTTTATATCTCAAGAGTAGTAAGGTAAGGTTTGACTCATTTTATTGAAAATGTTTAAAATTAAAAATGTACCAAATGTATTTGATAAGATTAAATTTTTTGTTTACTTATTTTCTTTGTGTTGTTTTTTGTAAAAAAACATTAAATTTTCAACACAATCTATAAGTAACGTTTTTTGGAATAAATTTATTTAATTTGTAATTTATTAAATTCCATTTGAAATGCATGCATGTGTCATCTAAGATAAAGTGAAAATTTGCCAACCCAAGGATGTTATTGTTGATAATGATGACAACGACAATGTTGTTACAAACATACATTCATATTTAGTTAATCATCATCTGAGGGGTGGTATTTAATTTTTCTTCTTTCTCCTTTCGTAATTTCATTTTAAAAGGCTTCTTTCTACAGCCAGAGTGTTAACAACCGGAAAGAGCGTACACGTGCCAAACAGTTTTGTTCATATTTTTTTTTCACAGTACTTGAGTTTTTTTGTTTTTTGCTGATTTTGTGTTGTCTGAGGTATTTTTTTATAATAACACACACACATACACTCTTCATAATAATCAACAACTAAAGCAAAAAAAAAATCGTTTTTTCCAGCCTGCTAAAATTATATAGAAAAAAAAAATAAATAAACGACTCATTGTCTACTATTGCTGGCACACGCAAACGAATAATGCGTGTTGAAAATATTTACGATATTATAAACAAAAAAATACTAACGAGCTGTTTGCTGTTTGGTTATTGAAAAATACTTATTGCTGGAGTTTCTCCCCAGTTATGTGTTGTTGTTGTGTGTACCTCTTTTTAACCAGACCTAAATTCATTTGTTTTGATTTTGCACTTCCCCTTGACTTTTTCAGTCTTTGTGGTTGTGGGAGTTTCACAGCACTCAACAGGATTTTTGTATATTTTCTACCCAATAAATACAAATAAAAAGAAAAATATATAATGTGATTTCTTGTGAAATCTTTTAAGCATAAATAAACTTATTAACTTTTGTATTGGTGTCTGTGCATTATAATAAATCTGTTTAAAATTTAACTTTCTTATTTATATTTGCTTTTCTTTTTTATTTACAGATTCATTTGATTCAAAATCCCTGCAATAAAACTCAACTCACTAAACCCATTGCTATGGCACCAACAATATGCTCAGGGAAAAAACGTCAAACACGTACCATTGCCACCACAAATATAAGACGAAGTGGACAAGGTTCACATCAACTAAATCAGGCACTATCGAATATTGTAAATTATGGTGAGTACAAGACCATTCTAGGTTGGAAATCACAGTACAATGGTACTTTTTAAGTCAGAGTAGTTAATAGAAAGGCCATTTGGTCATAGACTAGTTCATGCCCTAGTTAATTGACTAGTTCATAGAAAAGTCCATAGATTAGGTCTTTGACTAGTCAATGGATTGATCTACAAACAATAGACTATTAACTAGTCAACGATTAGTTCAAAGTCTATTGATTAGTCAACGAATATTCCACTAGTTAACGTATAGTATATAGATTATTAACAAGTCAACAACTAGTCCATAGTCTAGGAAAAAAATTAAATCTTCGAATACGAAAATTGCTTTATTGAAAAGATCCAAAAAGTACTTTTCAGTTGCAAAAAAGTACTCTTTTTGGTTAATAATATTTCAAAATTCCAAATACCTGCTATCACCCTCTTTCTCCCTTTCAACGCAATACTCATGCACAATTTCACGTTTGCTAAAAGCAGTATTTACTTGTTTTCTTGCTTTTGAAATAAAAAAATCAAGGCATGCGTTTCCAACAACGTGTTACTAATATTTAGATTTATAACTTAAACAACAATAATCACAGCGATAAAAAAAATAACAAATATAGGCCGGTTAAAATGAACATTAAATTTTGTTAAACTCGTGCATACGAAATCATATACGTGAATATAAATTACTTATCAAAGTACGATTAAAATGCAAATGATAAAGTTAAAAGCGAAAAAATATACATACATACATACGTACCTTATACATATGTGTATGTATGTATGTATGTATGTAGATAGAGAGTATTAGTTTGTTGTTAGATTGTGGTGTTTTCTCTCCTTACATTTTGAGTATGAACAATTTCGTTACGTATACGTCATGTAGCACTGACATGTGCCTTAATTTATTTATAAACAAAAACACACGCACACATGTAAATTAATACATATGTGCATTTACACTTCAATTAAAGATCACATGAAATAGACAGGCAGGCAGTCAACAATACAGACACAGACAGATAACACACACACAAAAACTAACATTAAAGATATGGACAATTAAGTATAAACGTTGCAACGTCAGTAACGTTATGAAACCAGTTGCAAAAAGTGAATGCGTAATGTCATGAAAGAATATTAATTTACATATTTTTCTTTATAAAATCCGTTTCAAATTACAGAAAAACTCTGAAAGTAATAAATGGAAATGATAGATTGTATAAAGTCATGTACTTGCTGCTGTTCATTTTAGCAAGGATTATGGCTAGGATAAAATGAACTTATAGAATAATAGCTTGATTGTATTATGTAATTAAGTCAAGACGAATTATTAGAATTTTTTAAATTCAAACAATATTTTGTTTAAAATGTATAAAAATTAAGTTAAACAATTTTAATAATATTTTAGAATTTTTTTTTTTTTTTTTTTTATAAAATAACAAACTTTCGAAGTCTCAGTGAATAACTCTAGATTTAGAACCCGAAAATATATGGTACCTAATCGATAAATCTGTTTCCCTATCCATAAAGATACAGAATATATGTATATTTATAACCAGCAGATCGGAGGGACACTCTCGAACTAGCTATTTAACCTACCACTTAGGGTTACCCCTAGCCACCAATTACCCAATTGACTAGCTATTTTAACATGTGCTTGTCCTGGGAAGAATTAAATCATCATTCCATATATAACAAAGAGACAGTCAAAAAATTTGTCCAAAAGAGATTTTTTATTTGTCCTTTTTCTAGATTATTTGAGGACTTAAACTGACGAATGCCTCCGTTCTCGCATTCTAAGGAGACACTTAAGTGACGGCAATCTTCAGCAGCAATTTTATAGTTTTAAAATAATTAAACTCCATTTCCGTTTTAAAATTTTTCCCTTTTTATTATCATAACTGTATTCAAACTCTTAATATTTATTTATTTACCTACCTGCCTTACTTTGTAGTTGCAGCAAGTAATTAACTTACGAAACAAACAAATAAATAAGAACAACAATTAAAACAGAGAAGAAATCTACAACTACACAACAGGAAAAAAAAAATAAAACACATTTTCAAATGTTGTGTCATGACACCAGACAACAAGACACACGTGCATTTGATTAACTACGACTTGTGTTGGAATCACATTTATTAGAGAATGAAATATTGAAACATACATATGTACAGACATCTACATATACATATGTACAGACATGTATATGAATACTTTGTCTCACTTTATGCACAGATTTACAAAGTTTTTCTTATTTCTTGGAAGAGTATCAGTGTTAATTTAGTACTCAACTCCCACAACTCCAAGGTTTTCTCTTTTTCTGACTCATTGTTGGAATAAAATCTTAGTTTAGAACGACAATGAGTAAGGTTTTTGGAACAATAATTCACTTCCTCCTGCAAAAGTATAAATGTAGAGCGTGATGTAATGCATGCTGTTATCTGTAGACCCAAGCAGTAGCACACTAACACTTCAATTAAAATTTTGAAAAGAAAACGTTTAAAAATCTCAGCAGCAGTTTTTATCGCTATGATGCCACACATACTGGAATTCGTTCTTAATTCGACTTAAGCGGTTATGGCTAGTGACCACAGATATTGTACAAACATGTGATTCATAAATTGTATTATTTTCTTCGAATTTGTTGTTATTGAAACCTTTGTCATACAATTTTCATTAATTGATATTTGACTTAATTATTGCAACAATTTTATTTACAATGAATTCTTCTTGATGTCGCCTGTCGACGAAGCGTGTGAGTTTAAAATCATGTACTTTTCACGTTGAACGATTTATTGACATACAAAAATTTCATGGGAACATACAGAAAAAACGTTAATTATTTATTTGTTTTCTTTTTAATTTATTTTTTTTACAGCATGTGTTGTGGTTTTTGCAATTAAAAACAAAGATAAAGAAAACAAATGTTCATTATGCAAATCTTCTTCATGCTTACTAATGGGGTTTTTGAGCAAAAAAGAAAGAAAAAACAATAAATAAAATATAAAATTAAGAACAAAAATGCACAATTAAACGGTCTCATGTAGGAATACATTTAAATTTTAAATATTTAAATGTCATTGTTGGACATGTGCCATTTTGAAGGTGCATCCAAGTTAAATCGTTGTGGGAGATATTTAAATATTTTACAATGGACTGTAATGAGCCCTTTAATTGCATTAATTTTTTGAAAAAATAAAAGAAATGGCCATCCAACCAACCAACCTCTACTATTTTAATCACCTTAAATTTCTCATATCCCATGACTTATTAAGAAATATTAAAGTGTCTTAAAACATTGAAAGTTGTTTTTCAACAATTGGTTAGATACCAGCTAATTTCTAACATTTGTTAATAACTAAACAACACTAATGTAGGGTACATAAGTTTCATTTTGGCTAATTTGCCAAAAAATATAAAATGTTGATATTTATTAATATTGTCCACTTTGTTAGAAAAACATTTCACTTTTACATAATCGTTCTACTTTTCTAAAATACAAAATATTGTATATAAAAAATACAATGTTGTTGCTACTTTTGCAATTATAAATGTATTTATTTTTCTAATTTCATTTCTAGTTCTAAATTCTCTTCCGTATTTTGTTGCTGTTATAAAAATAGCAACAACAACATTGAAATAAAATAGAAAACTGAGTAAAACGTCCGTCGTCTGCTTACTCAACACGTTCGTTAGAAGTCACGTTTTTAATCATGCATCAATTGTGTTTGCCTTGTATGTGTAGTTTTCTCTGTACACAACTGTCGCCCAATTCAACGGTCATCTGAGAGCAACATGTGCAAGAGAAATAAATAGTTTTTATTGTGTTTTTTTTTTTTATTTTTTAAAATTAATATTATGATCAATCTTGTTATTTTAGTATGAAAAGGAAATAATTGTTTGAATTATATTTTGTATTTAATTTTAAAATGTTTATTAAATTCTGTTGGGACTCATGAATTTTTTATGTTTTGTTCTATTTACAGTTTCTAAAGGCTCCAGAGTATCTGCTTCCTTGAGAATACATAGCCACAATGAAACGGAGAGAAACAACAATACCACCGGTAACTATCGCAACACAAATAATGCGGCCAGTTCAAACTATAACCACTCGATGGAAACAAGTGCCACATTATCAGCAGCATCAAATCATCGTCATCAACAGTTTTCCTTTATATCGGACAATGCTGTAACGTCTTCAACACATTCGGATACAGAAAATTCATTTGATTTAAGATTGGCCAATGAGCCATTTACAAACGATTCAATGGCAACATATGGCAGCAATACAACAAACCCAACCACCTCCACATCACAGTCATCGTCATCATTATCAGATTCAAACACATCTTCAACATCATTATCATCACCATCACAAAGAGAAACAACGTCATCATCCACATCACCATTGTACGGAGAAGAAAGAAGATTTCAAAGGTATTCATCAGTAATGCAGGTCAACAACAACATAGTCGACAAAGGAGAGTGTAGTAGTGATAATGACGTAACGGATTTATACGAAGATGACAATGACAAAGTAAGAACTTCGAATAAGAAAACAAATCAAATACATTCCAAAAATCTTAGGAAACACTACTATGCTTGCAATGAGTTTGATTCGGAGGAAGAATACGACGAGTTGGAAGATGCCAGAGAGCTAGACAACAGTGACATGAGTGGTAATGAAGGTAGTTATACTGATATGGATACCGATGAAGGAGACTCTATGACTAGTTTGGATACAGAGAAAAGTGCAGAACTTAAAAGAGGCAATCATCCCCTACTGAGAGATAAACTCTTGGCCAAACAACAGACTAACAACAACAGCAGCAGCAACACAGATGGTTTACTTTCCATAGCCATCAAAACAATAAAATTGGTTAAACGCAATCAATTACTGCAAAAAAGACTTACGCAATTGCAACTGGAAACCTCGGAATTTATACAGTCTGTGTTGGCCAATCCGGAAAATCGTCATTTCCGTGAGAATATTAAGCAGAAAGTTCAAAAGGTGGATAATGTTTAAGAAAAGACTTTTGGAATACAATAACAACAGCAGCATTAGCAACATTGAGAAAGTGCGGCCAGGAATTGAACCAGCCCAAGCAACATTTTGCAACAACAAAGTTTAACAACACAAATCAAAACCAAGAAGCTAAACATTGTGGTGGATAAAAAGCACAAGTTTTTTTCAAATTAAGTTGAAATTAAATAAAAAAGCTTTTTTTATTTTTGTTAAAAAAGCTTTTTTTTAATATTTAATACTAAACACACTCTAACACAAACGTGTCAGTTAGTTAAACAACTGAATTTAAAAAACACCTGTAAAGCCTACTTTTAGGCAGTTTTGGAAATATAAATTAATTCCACACCAAATATTTAGAAGAAAAAAAAAACTGCTAACTACCATTGTGATAAAAATAATCATTTTGAAAATATTAATAGAATTTCTTTTTTTAAAATCTAAACATCATAATTGTTTTTTCATAATTAAACTGCTTTAATTAAATTCCCTTATCAAAATCAAGAAACATTTTCTAGTCAACCATTCAAGTATTTATTGTAAAATGAGAAAGAAAAAACAAGATTAACGAAATAAACAAAGCAAATGTATAGCATTGTTGTGGCAGTCATATTCATTCAAAAATATTTGTTGTTTTCTAATAAAATGATCTCATAATAAACATTTTATTTTTGTCAACCAAAAAAAATTTATAAAAATTTTCATCAATTAACTAATAATTTTTGAAATTTTGTCTAAATGGCAAATAAAAGTTAAACTGATAGTTTTTATATAATATAAATTCAACAGTTTTAAAAGGTTTCGTTAGTCTTAAGTGTTCATTATAAATAACAAATAATTCACTTTAATGGATACCTATTATGATGGCTTTTTAAAAACATTTTCACTTGGTGTACATTCAATCGTTTTGTTTTTTTTTTTTTGTGAATTTAAATTTTTCTTAATTTGGCTTTATTTCATCAAAATTTCATTCTACTATAGATTTTCTCATATAAAGATGGAAAATAAACAAAATATGTTAAACAAATGAACTGATTTCGTAGAAATTTAAAAAATAATAATTTTTGCTTATTAAATGTAGTAATATTTAATTTATTCTTAAAGAACTAACTAATTATAAAATAGCAGGGCTAAATTCTAGAAACTACTTGGCCCATTTTTGCATTAATACATAGTATACTAAAAATCAGCATTAAGATTATATAGTTTTTGTTGCCTTTTTTTATAAATCATACTTTAGCGATTAAAATTAAACATGATAAATCATAAACTTAAAAGCAATTTGTATACATACTCCTGCTAATTATGAGTACTCTACCTTGACACCCTCTCCTTTTTTAACGAATTATATTATAAAATATAAATGTGTGCGTAGTTTTAGGCATTTACTATATGGAAAGATATTTGTATAATTATGTCTGATAAAAATTAGTTTTTATTTTTCTAAATTAAGCTTCATACGTAATTAATTTATATAAACATTAACCTTTTAATAAAAAATATTGGCTTTTTCATAGTGGATGTTAACATGTATTTAAAATTATTATTATTAATAAACAAATAATCCTATTTATTTTATATATTAAACTAAAATTTAATACATCATACATATAAACAACTATTTAAAATATTGTTTAATTTTAGTCTTTAACATTTAACATTATAATATCATATAAATATTGTAAACCACTTTATATAAAACTAAAAACAAATAAGAAATATCTAACCTTTAGTTATGTTAAGAGTAAAATTATAAAATCTTTTTTATCATAATTATTAATTGCTATTAAAAAGTGAAATTTTTCTTTAAAAGAAACGAAAAATTGTAAATTTAAATTGGTTATTTTGCATGCATTAACTATAAAAAATTTAACTTCAACTTCCATTGTTAAGAATCACTTTATTTTATGTTAAAATTTATAATTGAAGTATTAAGTAATATGGATTTATATCATTTATTCTATATTTAAAACAAATATATTTTGTTCACCAGAAATAAATTGATTATATTAACTAATAAACTATTGTATACATAAACATGCGCATTCATAATAATATAACTATTCTATAATATTTTAAGATAAATATTAAGAAAAATATAACATTTCCTTAAAAAAGAGTTTTCAAATATAAAAAAATTGTGTTTTTATTAAAATTTATTTATGTTTATGTTGTTGTAACAGTTTCACTGTTCGAATTCATTCATCAAATTATATTTTTTGAATTGTTGGAAGAAGTTCTTCCCTGGCAAAAAACATCAAACTTTGGCCGTTTGTTAATCGGGTCGTTCTGGAGCGCAGATCAAATTGTCGTGAGAACGATTGATTCTTGTTTGTGAAGTTCTATTTACGTTTGGTTGGATTTTTTAAAACTTTTCTAAATATTTCAAAATTATAACAAATCATTGATTAAAGAAGTAACATCAATTTTTAATAAATAGTTTTATTGTCAATAACAATTACTATAATAACGTAATAATCTATATATATAAAAGAGTAGCGTTACTGACTGACTGATTCATCATCGCACAGCCCAAACGGCTGAACCTAGAATCATGAAATTTTGACAGTAGATGTGTTTTTGGTACATTTGGGGGTAAAAAGGGGAAAAACTGGTAAAACAGGTTTTCTTAATTATCTTACACAATATTAGTGATACAAGAAAAATTTAAAATGCACCTGTATCTACTCTTAAAATGAGTAGATGGGTGTCTGGTACTTTTTTGAAATTCGTACTTTTAAGGGGTAAAAATGTGTAACAAAGGTGATTTTGGTACCTTTTTTGGCCCTTTATAACTTTTGAACTAATCAACATAATAAAATTTTTATAAATATTTTGGATACATCTCCCAAATTATGAGACACCTGTTTCGTACTCTTTTAAAATTTAGTCCTTTTTGGGTGTAAAAGGGAGAAAACTGTATTTATGCTACTTTTTTTTTAGCACATTAAGAAAACTTTTTCGGTTTATTGAATTATTCCTATTAAATTACGGACTAACTCTGTAATATTTATTGTAATAAAACTTTTGATATTTCATTGGGGAAAAAAGTACCAAAAAGGGAAAATACGGGAAATTTTATTTTATTCTAACTTATTGAGCCTATTTTTTTAAAATTTGAAGAAGTAGTTTATTTACTCACATAGCTGTTGCTATATTATTTTGGAATTCGAGTACTAAGGCGTATATAGGACCAAATTCGAGTAAATTGTTTGGTACTTTTTGAAAATACTATTATTCTAAAACAAATGAATGCAGATTTGAATCGTTTGAGTTTTATTTGTGATATATAGATTTAAATACGGAACATTTTATAAACATAATTCTCGAAAAAGTATATTTCTTAGTGAAAGGGGGAAAATTGTACTCTTTTTATTAGCACTTTCCACTTAGGTAAAATTTATTCCACTTTTGGTACTTTTTCTTTCTTCGAATGATACTCTTTGTATGTTCTTTAATATGAATCCAAAGCACATGATTATTAAACATACACGGTCCTCATTGAATAAGATCCTTTAAGAGAGAACTTTTTAGTACTTTCTCATAAATGGTACTTTTTTAATTTTCTAAAATAATGAACCTAGATGGTCTTGACTAAATAATATTCTGTAAGTGGGAACTATTTGGTACTTTTCTATTCTTCAAATGGTACCTTTTAGATTCTTTAAATTGGTTAACCGGAACATACGGTCCTTATTAAATGAGAATTTATTGAAAGAGATGTTTGTACTTTTTCGTTTTTCCGTTAGTACTTTTTGATATTTTTACGATATTGAACATATATATTGAAAATAAAATTTAAAATGTAGGGACCTTAGTGAATGAGAATCTACTGAAAGGGACTTTTGGTACTTTTTCATTCATCAAATTATATTTTTTGAATTGTATATAATATTGAACACAGAAACATAAATGATAATCTATTAGAGGTATTTTATAGTACTTTTTTTCAAATAGTACTTTCGCAATTTTCTATAATGTGTAAGCTAAATGAATGAAACTAAAAATACAAGCTTCTTACTGAATGCGAATTTAATCACGTGATATTGAACGTATAAAACTGAAACATTAAAAAAATGTTTAATCAATTTTAATTTTCTATAAAAGTAAACAAAATTTTGTATTTATTTAGTTTAAGTTAGGGTAGCGAAGCACCCAGGGTATGCTAGTCTTGTAATAAACATATTAATCGAAGAAGTCAATAAGCAGAAGTTCAACCAAAATGTTATAGAAAAAAGACTTAACATTACACCCAGGTTTTGTACGTGAATAAGTAATAAACAATTTTATTATATTAATGGAATTTATAGATATAACTTTATCACTCACGTACTACAAATTTGTTCAGACAAAATCATTTGAAAGAAATCAAATTGTGTGTTTTTTTTTTTTTTCATTTAATTGAAATTAAAACAACAATACATAATAAAAATGTGCAAAATCATGCACACAAATATCGATTAATGAACGCTTCGAGCATAAAATGTCTAGATGGGTCATAATGGTGTACAAAAGCTGTACAAGAGACGTTTAAATGCATTTAAAGTGGAAATATTTTTTTATAAATTTTTTTTCTCTACATAAATATTTTAAAAATAATACCAAAAAACAAATATTAATGTTTGACCTAAAAAAAAAACGGTAAAATTTATTATCCATTTAGATAGTAAAATATAAAATGAAATAGTTTTTTTTTTTCTTAATGATTAATGAAGCATTTTAAATAGGTAAGTTTTTTCTAGGTAATAATTATTTGTAAAAAAAAGTTGTAAATATATTCCAAGGTCATGCCAAAAACTAAATTGATTTCTACAAAAATTTGCTAGCTAACTAAAGTTCTTCTTAAGCTGTTTCCTCCGCAAAAGTATCATTATGTTTTGACCTTGACATTGGGTGCTCAACGTTAAGCTTTAAAAGTTCATAATTAAGAGTTCATTACTACCACTACAAGTTAGTTTTTGGTTTGGTTTGTTTGGCTTCCAAATCTAATTTAATTAACATGTTTTAAAACATTTTTCCTGGTTTGTTTACATTGGCATGATTTCATTTTAATCTGTCTGAGTTGATGCGCTAAATAACCGGAAGCCTTTTTAAGCGTATCCAAATTTTAGTTTTGTTATGGTTCTCATAACACTTCACACTCTTATGTTAAACTTAATAAATCTACCAAAAACTAAATCAATATTTTATTTATATTATATATTATGCGTTTTATTTTTATTATCATGTACTTTGATCATTATTACTACACATACTAGATATGTGTTGTTGACCATTATGAAGATCACAATCATCGTTAGTTGGGGTTTTGTTAATATTGATTTGCATAAATAAAACATGTTCAAATAAAGTTGAGACAAAACAAATGTACACAACAGCTATATACATACATGCACAAGATCAGTAAAAATAAATTTTATAAAATGAATCATAAGTTGGGTGTAAATTGTGACGTAGATGAGGGCTAACCCGTTGTATACTATACTATATAGAAGATATATGTATATGTATGTGTTAAAAGAAATTAACCGTTACTAAAAATTATATGTAAACTTTAAATTTCGGACTAAAGTATTTCTTCCTAAATTAGCTTCTTATGGTTTTCAAAAAAGTTAAATTAATTGTTTACTGTTGCAATAAATTTGCTTTCTCCCTTGAAAATGTTGATTTCAAATGTAAGATTCGTCATAGTCGAACACAGTTCACTCTTTTTTACAAAGGTAAACAGTGTAAAATCACTTTATTTATAGATTTTATTCGTTACATTTATAACGTTACTCAAGTGTTTTGACTCGTACAATAAAACTAGTTTAATAAATTCAATAAGAATCTGCTAGATTTGTAAACCGTTGTTTTTTTTAGTGTGTGGTGGTATTCTTCCGTTGTTTTTTTTCATGTATTTTAACAATAAATTATTTAGAATCTATTTGTAAAACATAAATAATGAATAAATTAGACAGATTCAATCATATTATTGAAAAGGGCCCCCATAATAAAAACCAAAAAATAATGACCAGAAATCAAGCCAAGTTGTGTAAGGTCAAGACTCTTAATTCTGTAACAATGTAAAAAAAGTACTTAAACAAAACAAAAGCGATTTGTATTTTGATAAAATACAAAATAACAATTTAATTTAAAATAATCAATTAATTCAATGTAAATTGAGGCGGATATAAAGACGAAGAAAAACATGTATCTTAAAGTATGTATGTGACATTTTGGTATCAATTTTAAAAAAACCTACAAATGTTGTCTGATATCGAATTAACACTTTATTTGTAACATAAATTTAAATTTGAAAAAATGCCAAAAATCCACAATAAACGTTTAAATATGAAAAAAAAAAAAAAAACAAAAAAACAAAATTTCATCATAATGCCGTTTTGGGTCTCATCATTATAAGTAATTAATTAATATTGATATTCATAATTGATTTATGTAAATATAAATATTTGTGTATAATTTCGCACAAGGCGTTCGTTGACTTGAACTTGAAAATCTCCAGTGGAATTTAGCGCATTTGTGCTATTTGGCACATAAACCAGAGCATAGGGCCAAACCAAAAAAAAAAAAAAAAACAATTTAAAACTGGCTATGGACGTTATACTACTCATTTATCTCTTATCACACCTTTCTCAACACAGCAATATACACACATACAATAAACATTTATAATATACGAATACCCAGCTAGCATTTTTTGAAATTTTTGATCACATTCGAGTCATTTATGACTCTTCTGCACGATTAAAATGATCATATATGCGCTCATTTTCTAATCATAAATGATACATTCGTCGGTAGAAAATGGTACCCTACCTGCGACTCTTCTAAATGAGTAATTTATCAGCCCCACTTCTGATGAATTATGACTCATTTTTTAATCTTTTTTGAGTCATTAATGAGCCAAATAACTGGTCGTTTTTGAGTTATTTCCGAATCATATTATAGTCATTTTTGAGTCTTTTCTGAGTAATTTTTATGTTTGTTGCAGACAAATACAATACAACGGAAAACAGTTTTTGATCTTCCGACTGCGCGAAATATAACTACAAACTAAATTTACAAACAATCATATTTCAAACACCTGGATGACCTATTTATGATTGTTTTTCAAATAAATCAGAATTCAAACATTAATTGGGCTATTTAGACTTAGTTTAGTGATTAGTCGCGCAACTATCTTCCGTAGAAGATCATTAAACACAGAAAATTATTATAATTAAAGCATAATATATTTTCAATTTCCTTGACAGAAAATCGACTTTATAAATATCACACAAATTCAAATACTTATACATTTAATTTTATAAACGAAATGAGAATTATATCAACTCATTTTAGGTCACACAAAATGTTTTGCTAACTCTTCCAAAAGAGTATTTTCTGAGCCCCATTTCTAATCAGTTTCGACTCATTTTTGAATAGTTTTTGAGTCATTTTTAAGTGTAAGTGTTGCTATTTCATTACAAACGAAAACAATTACATAAGGAACAATTTTAGATCTTCCAACTGCTTGAAATATGACCAAAAAATATATTTTTAAAACCATCATATTTTAAACACCAGGATGATAAATTTATGCTTGCTATACATTTTGTTATTGTTTTTCAAATATTCAGTTTTCAATCACATTCGGGTCATTTTTTAAGCGCTCAACTTATTAATCACTTTTAGGTCATCAAAAGGAGTCAAAAATGACTCAGTTTACTGATTAATCATCCAACAATCTTCCAAATGCTAGCTGGGTAGCAGTAGCAATGTATTTACCCTCTAACTACAGAGATAGATGTTACCTTTATAACAATAATAATAATAATAATAATAATAACAGCGTAGTGATTGAGTAGATATCTATCTATCGTGTTATGGGGTTTTCTTGTTTAAGCATTGATCTCATCTACGTTTAATTGTCAATAAGCAGTCATAAGAAACGCACGCATGCGTCGTTAATAAGCGTAAAACTGTTTTAAATTTTATGGACGGTTTTTTTATATACAAATTACAAGTATTTAAATTAATTAAAGAAAAACGTTGCAAAAACAAAATTTACAAAAAAAAAAAAACGTGAGAAAAACAATAAAAAATATATATAAGGTATAATCTAATTTTGAATACATTTGTTAATTTTGACTGTATGCCAATTTATTAATTTGCCAAATGCATACAATTTTAACTAATTTACTTTTTGTCTGCATTTATTTCAATCGTGTCTAATTTGTAAAGTGTGTTTTGGTTATATTCTCTGGTTAATTGTTAATTAAACACTTGTGTTAAACGTTTGAATATTTATGATTTCATCTCTAATTTTTTATGTGTGATTTTTACATATTCGAGTGTATTTTATTTTAAACTAAACAATTATAGAGCTATTTAAATATTTACCCATATAAATAAATATTCATCTAATAAAAAATTTATACAAAAAGTGGGCATAAATAAGAGGAATTTGAAAATTATGCAAAAAAATAATTGAAAAATATTCTTAAATATAAATTAATATGTAATGAAGAATATAAACATGATTTTTAAGTGATTATTGAATGTGAGTGAAAATAAATTGGTTGCAAAAATTCTTCAACTACACTGTGCTATAAAAAGAAAAAAATAATATGTTCTCAACTTTGAAATAATCTCAAAATCTAAAGTTGTTTTAATAGAAACTGAGTTATAGTATACGCACAATTGGGACGAATGACGAATTTTTCGGAACGAATATTCGTCGTCAGAAATATAACACACTTGGGTATATGAAAATGTACACAATCATTGCGTATGACGAAATTCGTCGTACGTAACGAACTGTGCGATAGGTTTATTTCTATTTTTTATGCAGACGAACGACGAATTTATTGGGGAAAATTGTTTTAAAACCAATTCCGGTAGCCCGAATTTGCTGGAATTTTGCGGTTGTGGGTACAGCTAATGACAATACAATATTATGTTCGAATATTCGAAATTATATTCGAAAATTCGAAGTTATGTTCGAAAAAATTTTTATGCTCTTAAAATAATCTCTGGGTCATAAAAACTAAAAACAAAATTTTCGAAAATTCGAACTTAAGTTCGAAAAATTTTTAAAGCCATTAAAACCAGTTCTCGTGGCCCTAATTGTCTGAAATTTGGCAATCTAGAGTACACTTGATGACACTACAATGCTATGTTGGAATATTTAAAATTAAGTTCGAAAATTCGAAGTAATGTTCGAAAAAATTTTGAAGCTGTTAAAATAGTCTCAAAATTGGGGATATTCACAAAAATATAATTTTAGTTCTTTTCGAGGCCAATTTCTTATATTTTCTAATTTCGAAATAATGTTCGAATAAATTTTAAAGCTGTTAAAATTATCTCAAAATCGTGGAGATTCACAAAAATATAAGTTTTGTTCCTTTTTCTTACTTTGTCCAATTTCGAACAAACAAATTTTAAAACGAATTCGCAGTACGAATAATTTGATTGTATTCCATTCGACGAATTTACGCAACGTCGATTAGTCGTCGTGCTATACGAAATTCGTCGTTCGTCCCAATTGTGCGTATGGCATTACTCAAATATTTAATACATAAATAGATGATTGTGTTCAACATTCCAAAAAATATTTTTGTTATACGGTGAAGAATAAATAACACAGGACAATCTGTTGGCTTTAAAACTAAGATTGCAACAGCCCGTTTAAAACGTCTCGAAAATATGATGTGATGTCCTGTTCATGAACGGTCATAATTACAACCAAAATAGGTTTATCTCGTTTTTTTTTTAGAGAATCAAAACTAAGCTTTAAGACTAATTTGTTTACTTTTAATATTTTTCGGAAATAAAAAAAAATACTTTCTCGTCAATTGAAATAAAAAAAGTTTAGAAATTGATGTGTTATTAATCTATTGATTACAAATGAGCTTAAATTAAACTTATATATTGGTTTATTGAGCATGATAGAAAACAAAGTAGAGATTATTTCAGATACTAAATTGAATAAAAATGCTGTATGAATTTTAATTAAATACTGACGTTCACAATACAAGATAATGCACAGAGGCGTAGTTGAAAGATTTGAGTAATAGCTAAACTCGATATTTCACTTTTCTTTATATACATACATAGATTTTTAACATACATATCTTTAATAGAATTAAAATTGGGTTTTCAATTCTTTTACGATTTAACTTTTTAGATATTTTTCATTGGAATAACATTAGAAGATTTTGAGGACAATAGAATAGAATTAAAATTGAGTTTTCAATTCTTTCATAATATGTACGTACGATTTAACTTTTTAAACTTTTTTCATTGGAAAATTTGGTCAATCGTAGAAATGTCTATAGTGAAAGCGCAGAAATCATACCCTCTGAACAGTCTCTGTAAATTACTTACCCAGAGACCAAAGCGCTTAAAATTCATCCATTACATCGGGTTTCCAGATATCGTGTTATAAAAAACAAGATTTTGGCCATATTTGAGACTCTATAGCAGCGCGAAAACAACTTTATTCATAAAATTTGTTATGTCATCTGAACGTCCAATTTGTCGAATTTAAAATAAAAATTTAAGCTCTGTTATATTTTCTTCCATCTACGAGATATCTTAACTAAAAGCAGGGCTTGTGTTATTGCACTTTTACTAAAAGTCTTTTAGTAAGTTTAAATAAAACCTTAATATAACACCGTGCAACAGTCATTTTCACACATGAAAAAAATCTATGTGTACAGTTTGGATGCCAAACGGGATTTTCGGGATTTGAAAGTACCGAAAACCGGGATTTTAAAAAATGAAATCCCGGGATTTTAAAATCCTGAGTTTTGAAGTGTTTTTCCGCTATTTTATACATTATAAAGTGTTAAATAAGAGAATTTTAAAAGTTTTTGGACTTAAGATGACTCTACTAACTTACAAACTGAAATATCAAAAATAAAAAGGGCAATAAATTGGCATAGATACCATCGGATATATAAAAATAACAAGTAAGAAATTATAGGCGGGCGAGGCCGACCATATAACACCCTACACCAGTTATGTGAGTAAAATGTGATTTAGTTTTCATAATAAATCATTTAAGTTGATTTATACCTCGCCTCCGATTGTTGTTAAAAATCCCGATATCGGGACCATTAGTATTAACTCTGTGTACTCAATTTTTCATGATCAGTTCTTATGCCCCTGCAAAAGGACTTCAAAGTTTAAAGGACTTACGATTTCAAAAGATGTAATTCCAAATTTATATTAAAAATTTGGTATTAATATTAATATCAAATGAAGCTGAGAACCTCTGCTACAAAAAAAATATTATTTATTTAAATTTATCAGGAAGCTTAAAGTTTGTCACAAAAAAGTAGTTAAAAATTTTTGTTTAGAATATGAGACCTTTTTTTAAATTTAATTTATTTTTCGATTTTTTATCTTAGTGATTCAAATAAATAATATATATAAAATGAACACATTACCAGCTTTCATTTAATATCAATATTAGCATCATGTAATAGATATAAATATTTAAAATATTCCTTAGAAATTGTAAGTCCCTTAAACTTTGAAGTCCTTTTATAAGGACATAAAAGCTGATTATAAAAATCGGAGTACGCAGAATTGTTGCGAATGTAATCTAGTTTCACATGCATGTTAATTTTTTTTCAAAATTGTTGCAGGGTGTAATGAGACCTTACAAATAGGAGTTTCAGTTTTATATTTTTGCTTTGATTTATAGTTAAAAACTAAACCAACGCAGTTTTTAATTTACATGACAATGAATGCGTTCCATGACATATGAATTGAGTGATTGGTCAGATAATAAAATGTGATATTAATTACAAACTTAGTACACTAATACTCCAAATGCATTGGACCAATATTTAGAACTTAGACATATTTTCGTGTTTGCAATTCTAGTCACGTACTTATAATATACAAAATGCTCATCGTGCAGAAAACGACAACAACAACCTTATCTAAAAAATCAAAAAAATAGACCAATTAAATAAATTTTGACAACAAATATTGCCTGACATACATATACTTATGTATATGTATGTATATCCATGTGGTATGTCTAGTGGGTGACCTAAACGATAAATTCAAGAAATTAAAAAAAAGACTTATTAATAAATTCAATAAAAACTATAAATTAAAATTATATTAAACTTTTGAACTTGAATTTTTTATATTTATATTTAACACAATTTCAAAATTTAAATAAATTTAAAATAAAAAAGTAACTGCCATTCGTTAAAACAGTAACCAACTGTATTTCTAAACATTTATATGGAGAGATAAAATGCGATTTTTTTCCTTTTTATATAAAAAAAAAATTTTTCAAAATAATATTGTTCATTGATTTGAATTTTAGCCAATGTTGCAATAATTATTTATTTGTCTGAAGAGGCAAACCATATGAATCTTTATTAATTTTATTCAATATTTTATTATTGTTATTTTTAGGTTTGTTTTGATTTGCAAAAAAAAAAAAAAATGTGGTAAAATAACCGGTTCTTTCTTTTTAAAACATTCAGTTGGTATTTTTGTATAAAAATCGCATAAAAAAGTAATAAAATTGTAAATATTATGACCAGTTTTTATGCATATGGGGAGTACAGAATGCCTGAAAAGTTGGTTGCTTACAACAAGTGGTTGAACTTGAAATTTTGTTACAATTCTTTAAAGTAAAGTCAAGGAATTGCAAGAAAAAACTGGTTGGCATTTTCAAGGTTATAATATTACAAGACCGTTAAAAACAAAGGATTTTATTGCATATACATGCATATGTATACATGTACATGTATGTAAATGAAGAAACGTCTCAAATGTAATGTAATATAATGGACATTAATTGTCTTACTGTCTGCTTGTCGCTTGAATTCTTTTAAAACTCAAACTGAGATTGAAAGTGAATTTTAATTTGTGAATAAATAAACATTAATTTTTTTTCTAGAACGTGTTAATTTTATTCAATGTATTTTTTTCTTCTTTGCCTTTGTTTAGTTAGAATATTTTTTTTATTCTTCAATTTACATTCAAGTGCTAATTAATAAGAACATTGTGCAATTTATTTTATTTTAGATTCTTCAGTTTGAATTTGAGATGCCTGCATCATGTCGCATTTGAATATTGTCATAATAAGTTTGCTGTCAATTGTCAGTTTGTCCTGGGGACAAAATTTTGTTGACTTGGCTCGTGATTTGGAAACATCTTTATTAAATACTCGTTTACCGGATACACAAATATTTTTGCCAGAGTATGATTTTATTATAATTGGTGCTGGTTCGGGTGGTTGTGTGGTGGCGAATCGTTTGAGCGAAATACAAAATGCCACAGTGTTGCTTTTGGAGGCCGGGGATCAGGAAACTTTCATCAGTGATGTACCTTTAACAGCAGCTCTCACTCAAATGACCCGTTATAATTGGGGTTACAAGTCTGATCCCACACCAAATGCTTGCCAGGGTTTAAAGGATGGTGTGTGTAATTGGCCCAAGGGCAGAGGTGTGGGTGGTACTAGTCTTATAAATTTCATGCTTTACACCCGGGGCCATCGCAAGGATTATGACCACTGGTCTCAATTGGGCAATAAAGGCTGGAGTTATGATGAGGTTCTGCCATATTTTAAGAAATCGGAACATATGGAAATTGAGGAATTAAGAAAATCCAAATATCATGGCACCAAAGGTCCTTTAAATGTCTGCTACACTGATTATAAATCAAAACTACTGAAAGCTTTTTTAAAATCTAGCCATGAAATGGGCTACAATATAACCGATCCCAATGGTGAGCATATGTTGGGATTTAGTCGTTCTCAAGCTACTTTACAAAACGGCCGCCGATGCAGTTCCGGCAAAGCATTTATTAAACCCATTGTACATCGTCAAAATTTGCATTTATCTATGAAATCAAGGGTAACTAAAATTGTAATAGAAACCTCCAAAAAGTCTCAAAAACTTAAAGCTCGTGCAGTAGAATTTATTAAAAATCGCCAAAGATTTGTAATACGTGCCAAAAAGGAAATAATATTATCGGCTGGTTCGATAGCCTCACCACAACTATTAATGCTATCGGGCATAGGGCCCAAACAAAATCTTAAGCAACACAATATAACTGTAATTAAGGATCTGAAAGTGGGCTACAATCTGCAAGATCATATAACACTAAATGGTTTGGTGTTCTCCATCAATGATAGTACGGTAAACGATCGTAGACTAATGAATCCCACCGATATTTTACAATATATATTACAAGGTAAAGGACCTTATACTATACCAGGAGGAGCAGAAGCATTTGCTTTTGTAAGAACGCCTTCATCGGCTTTTGATAAGGACTATTCTGATATGGAAATCGTTTTGGGGGCTGGTTCTCTAAGCGGTGATCATATGGGTTCCATGAGAGATCTTTTGGGTATATCGGATGAGTTTTATCAAACAGTTTATCAAGGATTACACGATAAAGTATTTGAGCTGATGAGCATTTTGTGGAAAGATTAATGGTAACTTGTTTTTAACTAAAAATGTTTGTAATTTTCAGGAAACTTTTGGCTTGGTACCGGTGTTATTAAGACCCAAGAGTAAAGGACGTATTTCTTTGCGCAGTGCTAATCCCTTTCATTGGCCCAAAATGGAACCAAATTTCATGCAAGATCCCGATGATGTAAGAGCCATGATAGAGGGTGTAAAATTGGTAAAAACAAATGAGTTTTAATTATGACATAATTTAACTGTTTTGGATTTTATTTATAGATCTTGAAATTAACCGAAACTAAAGCGATGCGTAGAATTGGCACTCAATTTAATCGTAATCCCTTTTTGGGTTGTGAACATCTTCCGTTTTCATCCGATAGTTATTGGAAATGTTGTCTACGTTTGTACGGTTCCAGTTTACAGCATCAATCGGGTACTTGTAAAATGGGTCCATCATCTGATCCAGAGGCTGTGGTTGATCCTCAGTTAAGGGTATATGGTATTGATAATCTGCGCGTTGCAGATGCCTCCATAATGCCCAATATACCAGCTGGTCATACAAATGCCATTGTTATAATGATTGCCGAAAAAGCAGCCGATATGATTAAGAATAGTTGGCGAATGAAAACGAATTGATAGATCAAATCGATGTGTTCAGTTAATGTAGCTCTTTTTAAATTGTAAATATTTATTTTTCGATAGGTATTTATGTATCTTTGTATATTATTTAATTTTTAAGTTGAATTGTGATAAAATAGAATAGTTTTTTTAATAAATTTAAAATCATGCTTTTGAAATTTTAATGCTTCGTAAAGATATTATATATTTTCTCATAGTTCTAAGAGAGAACTTCGACTTATCCGTAGCAATGTTTTCTATATTGCGACATTTTTTATTAAATACTAAGCCTATCGAAATCTGTTGAAATAGATTCAACATTTCACCAGGCCCCTATACAACCGGATTCTCCGATTAGGAATTTATAGTTCACAATTACGTTAATGCATATTATTTTTTTTAAAATTGCCTTAAATTTTTTTTTTTTTTAAATTGCCTTATTTATGAACTTAAATCCATGCATTTTACAAAGCCTTATTCAGAAAATCAGTTTGTATTCAGTACATAAAAGCTAAAGAGATTTTACACATATTCATAACTGCTGTAGTGTATCATATAATCGGGCATGATCGACACACTACATATTCTTAACTGTTTTTGTATTACAATTTATTTGAAATAAATAAAACGTACAATATGAAATCAAAATCAAGCAGCAATCGATAAATTGTAGCCTTCTCTATGTAACACTCATAGTTTGTGCATTCACTAAGTGGTTTTGATCTCTGCTAAACAGTTTAGAAGTCATTGCTTAACTATTCAGTGCTACCATATTATATAATTGCCATGACAAGTGCTCTATTGCGCATGCAACAACAACGTCAATTGTAATCACATGTATTCCATGTAACGGTATGTGTCGAAAGCATAAAGTGTGATAATCACTGATGCCACTTGAAAGTTCAGTCATTTTGCGGCATTTTAAACGTTAACAACACGGCATAGCGTCGGTCCGTTTAAAAATAATTAAAACTAAAACAAAAATATATAAATAAACGTATTCAGTGAAACAAACAAACAAAATAAATCAAATCCAAAACGAATTATAATGAAGAGTTATATTTTATGAGTGCGTGTGTTACCAGAAGTGGTTTAAAAATGTACGTGCAATTTAAGTAATTAAACACATCAGTATTTTGAGAAAAATCATTTGTAATTGTTGAAAAATAAATGAAAAAAGAAAAGCGAAGAATAGAAGATGTTGTGTGAATATAAAGAGATTTAACTAAAATTGTTTTGTTTTTGTTTAGTTTATGTTAAGCAACTGCAGGGAAAAAGTTTTATTTAATGCTTCACTTTGCGAAGGAAATTGTCTCAGTAGTTTTTTTGATGTGATCCTGCTGCGTATGGACTAATATAGCAACAGCAATAACAACAAAAATAATCATAATTACAACAATAACAACCGCACACTTTGCGTGTTTGTCTCGTGTTTTTTATTCCCTCTTTTGGTGTTTTCGTTTTTTTTTTGCTATTTCTTTTTACTTTCAAGTTTTCCATTAATATTTCTTTTGTAGGATGTGCGTGTTTATTGCTTAGAGAGTTGTAGTATTTCTTGTTGTATTTATAATTTTTTTTGTTTTGTCGGAGGCGAATGTGGAATATTTTTGTTTGTCTCACTGCTGCTGCTGTAGTTGTTAACAAAAACGACTACTACGACGTCTACTACTATAACTACGATGAATTAAAAGTTGTTGCTCTATTTGTGTGGTAAAAAGTAGTTGAAATAGGAAAAAACAACAACAAATACATGTGTGCCAGTTTGAATGTGGAATAACCGAGTTTAAATGAATGTTGTTGAATGAGTAAATGAGCGGGTGTATCAGTGAGTCGATATGTAAATGGGTATGTAGGTTTTAGCTTTAGTGCATGCATTCTAGCCTTAGGGATTTTTTGGTTATTCTATAGAAAAAAATTCTTTTTTCATTTTTGTATCCTTTTCAAAATATTTAAAAAGAACGTATAGAATAAATGAAAGAAATGTTGAAAGAATGTATAGAGAGGGTTTTAACCCACAATTACTCTGGGAATATATTTACATTCATAAATATTAACTATACAATTTATTTACATATACCACGTATAAATGTATTTTTTTTTTTTTTTTTGTAACTAATAACAATAATTCACTATCAACATAGTGTTGCCACCGTTGGTTGCAAGTAGTTTTCCTTATGGAAATATTAGTTTTTATTGTGTTCGATATTAAAATTTGAAAGATAAAAATGTTCTGAATTATGAAATTAAGTACGAATCGTGCTCAAGTCAAGCCCATTTTGGGATTAATTCAATATTTTACATTCATAAATCAATCTTATTATTATCTCAAATCAAGTATGCATTTGAGATTAAATGAAATAGAAAATTATAAAAATAAGTACATTGTAAGATCACTTTGATCCAAAAAAGGGTTTGAATTAATTGTTTCAAGTATTTTATCGCTGGTTTAAGGAGCACTATACTTACCGTACTTCTAAAAGCGCTCCGCATTGATTTGAGTGCGGATTACTTCATTCTTTTTTGTGAGCTTACCATGTTTGTTAACATTTAGACAACGGATGTGTATAAAATTTAGATTTCGACAACGAATTGTTGCAATATTGTCAGCATGACATAGTGTTGTCGTACGTATGTATATACTTTGACAACGGATGTTATTGAAACAGTTTGGTGTCAATTTGGTACCAGGCGTGTATATTTCCTTTTCCTTCTGTGTATAAACAAACTACTTTATGATCTGTTATATTACTAGACTAACTTAAGAAGCAAAATTTTGTAATGCAAAACATAAAAAATTACTTTCCTATAAAAGAAAGTGTTTAAGAGATCGCTTCTACACAAAAAAAAAGGATGGAGTAATCCACACTCAAATCAATGCGGAGCGCTTTTTCCCTCTGTGTAGGCAAACGAATACTTTAGTCCATAGATTAGTCAAAAGACTGATCATTAGAATAATCCATAGATTACACCGTCCAACAAAAAGAGAAAAAAATCGGTAAACATGAACCGGATGATATACGTCTGAAACTATACATTTAAGGAAGAAAAACTGCGTTTTTAATTTTTCATTTCGTGATCTTGTGTCCTTTCTAAAGGACTTCAAAGTTTAAAGAAGTATGTTATTCAAAAAAATATTTTAAAATACTTCTACTGATTAAACAATGCCAAATGTCAAAAGAAACAGGATCACGAAATAAAAAACTGTGAAGGTAGTTTTACTTCATTTAATCTCTAGTTTCAGATTGATATCATCTGGTTCATGTCTAATTTTGAGTGTCGGACGGTGTTATTCATTAGACTAGTTCAATAAACTAGTCGAAAGACTAGGTAATAGACTAGTTCACAAATTTCCTTAGACCCATCCACAGATTAGCTAACATACTAATTCTCTAGTAGTTAGACTAGTCAATAGATTACTTTATAGACTAGTCGATAGATTACTTCATAGACTTACAAGACCTTTAAAAAACAGTACTTTTAATCCTAAAACAGTTGCTCTTTGATAAGAGATAGAGATAGTACTAGTACCAAGATTTAGCTATCGATGTTACCCAATATATTGATTAAAGATCTTACAAATAAAATAAGTTTTCCTATTAGAGAAACAATAAAACTGTTTGGTTGTAATAAATTTAGATCACATGCATATATTCTAGTAGGTATATATGATATTTAATTACGGTAAAACTTATACCCTCGCAATTCTTTAGATTTGTTTTAATATATGTATAGATACATTAAACAATTTTAATTAAAACTACTGTCACTAAGAGCATTTCAAAAAACTATGTATATTTAACAATTTCTGCTACGTCTTTATTTAAACATGCTCAATTGACTTTGGATTTTAATAAAAGTGCAATTTCCCGCATAAACTATTTCAATTTTCTTAGATACTCGAGTGGTAAGTGGCAACACTCTTCATCCATCATACAAAATCTACCAATACTATAGTAATATACTTTTGTTTTTTGAACAACCGACGATGATGATGATGATGATGATGATAAAGACGACTATGACGATTACATCTACATACTGTAAATGTATGTATGTGTGCACGTACGGATACACAATATGGATGTATGAGGAGAAGGAACCAGAGTAACTGAAACATATTGTATACATTTTGGTTGCCATCAGTTTTAGTAGTAGTTGTTGTACTAGTCACTCATTCATTCAGTCAGTCAGTTAGTCAGTCAACGAAACATGCAGCAGTCAGTCAGTGAGTTGCTAGTAGACCGTAATACTACGTTCACAATGTTTTGTTTAATATGACGTTGACGTTCATGGTTTGAAATTATTTTAACCTAGTTTTTCTCCACTAGTGGTTTATTTTCACAGTTAGTTTCATAGTATTCCTTAAAAATTTTCATTTATGTTCGTATGTATGTGTAGTATATTCGTAACATGGCTGCTAACAAATAATGGGAAGGGTGTTAACACGAACTTTTAATTACGCTGAACCAAAAACGAAAAATTAACAAAAACAAAACGTACACAAAAATATTCACACACTCCAAAAAAATGCAAATGCTAATATAAGTGCGTATAATTATATGTTAAATATTTATAAAATAATTAAAATTAAATTACTCGTCTAAAACTAATCAAACATTAATAAAATTTATGTTTTGAAAAAAAAAAAATCTAAATATTAAATTTATTCAATCAAGCATAAAATCAAAATAAAATATTTTCATGTTATTTCGTTCTTTGTTCTTTTTAATAAATTTTAAATCAAAATCTAAATAAAAATTTACGATGTAATTCAATTAAATTCGTATATATGGCACAATAAAATAAAATTATCCAAAATAAAGTATCGCAGCCAATTTAAATGAAAGTGGAAAATAATGCTTAAAAACAACAATAAAAATCAAAAATATATTTCATATCAAGCAACAGCAACAAGGTAAATATAAACAACAACTATAACGAAATTGAAAACTCGTCTGCAACCAAACAATCTGCCAACACCCTTTTAATACAACAACACGGCCCTTAACAACCACTACATACCGAACAACCACAACAACAATCAAACAAAAATTCCAATATTGTAAGTATTGAAACGCTTTTATTTCATTACGTGCATTTTTATTCTTCGTTCGTTGTTGTAATATACATTTATTTATTTATTTATTTATTTTTTTCATTTTCATTTTGTTGTTTGGTTTTATTAAATTTATGTAGTTTTTATTTCGCCGGGATTTAAAATGAAATAAAAAGGCAAAATACTTGACATGTGCTTTTAATAAGCCACAAAACCCAACAAATTTAACCGCCACCCACCAATCCATTAGCCAACCGAAGCAGACCAGATCAGACCAAGCGTAGGATATTTTTATTTATTAATTTAATTCATTTCATTTAATTAAACATTACGGTAATATTAAAGAGAAATTATATAAAATAAAAGTTTTTCCTGCACTTTTAACTTGATTTACCACATTTATACGTAAAGTTCTGCATTTCATTTCCTTTTGATAAAATTTTATACATTTTAAATGAAGAAATTAATTATTTAGGGATTTACAAGCTCCAACCAACATGTAAAATGTATTTAAAAACGTGCATGTTTGGACAAGTTTTAACATAACAAAAACATGCAAGTCTTGTAATTTGTTGGTTGAATTAATATCATTTAAATATATGTATTTAAAAATATTTTTAAATTGTTACAGTTTTATTGAAAATATTTCATTATGATAGAAGGACTCTAATTTAAACAGTACATAGTTTCCATCTCAGTTAACAGTGACAAATCTTGTGTATAAAAGAAACATAGGACATAGGCCAAGTAGGAGTTAGTTAGTTAGTTAGTTAGTTAGTTAGTTAGTTAGTTAGTTAGTTAGTTAGTTAGTTAGTTAGTTAGTTAGTTAGTTAGTTAGTTAGTTAGTTAGTTAGTTAGTTAGTTAGTTAGTTAGTTAGTTAGTTAGTTAGTTAGTTAGTAGTTAGTTAGTTAGTTAGTTAGTTAGTTAGTTAGTTAGTTAGTTAGTTAGTTAGTAGTTAGTTAGTTAGTTAGTAGTTAGTTAGTTAGTTAGTTAGTTAGTTAGTTAGTTAGTTAGTTAGTTAGTTAGTTAGTTAGTTAGTTAGTTAGTTAGTTAGTTAGTTAGTTAGTTAGTTAGTTAGTTAGTTAGTTAGTTAGTTAGTTAGTTAGTTAGTTAGTTAGTTAGTTAGTTAGTTAGTTAGTTAGTTAGTTAGTTAGTTAGTTAGTTAGTTAGTTAGTTAGTTAGTTAGTTAGTTAGTTAGTTAGTTAGTTAGTTAGTTAGTTAGTTAGTTAGTTAGTTAGTTAGTTAGTTAGTTAGTTAGTTAGTTAGTTAGTTAGTTAGTTAGTTAGTTAGTTAGTTAGTTAGTTAGTTAGTAGTTAGTTAGTTAGTTAGTAGTTAGTTAGTTAGTTAGTTAGTTAGTTAGTTAGTTAGTTAGTTAGTTAGTAGTTAGTTAGTTAGTTAGTTAGTTAGTTAGTTAGTTAGTTAGTTAGTTAGTTAGTTAGTTAGTTAGTTAGTTAGTTAGTTAGTTAGTTAGTTAGTTAGTTAGTTAGTAGTTAGTTAGTTAGTTAGTTAGTTAGTTAGTTAGTTAGTTAGTTAGTTAGTTAGTTAGTAGTTAGTTAGTTAGTTAGTTAGTTAGTTAGTTAGTTAGTTAGTTAGTTAGTTAGTTAGTTAGTTAGTTAGTTAGTTAGTTAGTTAGTTAGTTAGTATGTCGATATTAATATGAACATCAGGGAAATATTTGGTAGAGGGAATTTAATAAGGGCTTAAGCATGGACCGTGCTCTTCCGAATTAAAAATATTAATTTTGTTTGATCCAATATTTATAACCATAAACTGTTTTTTTGTAAGAGTGGTTATATGGAGGGTAGAGTCAATTATGGACCTATCCTTGTCGGTTTATACAATAATTATTTGTATCTAATGTAGCTGTACTTGTATCTTTAATTCAGTCATGAGTACAAAACTTGTTTACATAGATTTTCACTGCTGTAATCGCATTTTTGAGTCAGTAATGAGCGTTAAAGTCATTATCTGAAGGGGACCTTATAGGGGGTAGGGTCAATTACAGACTGATCCTCATAAAATTTAGTGGGAGATTTTAGCTAATACGAAAATTGTTTATATCGAAATTCATCGATGTACTCGCAGTTTTAAGCTAGTAATGAGGTTTAAAGTCATTTTCTGAAGTGGACTTTACAAGTGGGATAAGGTTAATTAACGACCGATCCTAATAAAATTTGATAAAGATCTTTTGGCTTGGACAAAACTTGTTTATGTAAAATTTTACTTCTGTACTCACATTTTTGAGTCAGTAATAAGCCTTAAAGTCATTTTCTGAAGGGGACCTTATATGGGGGTAGGGTCAATTATGAACCGATCCTTATAAAATTTTACGAAGAGATCTAAATTCTTATAAAACATGTTTGTGCCGAATTTCACCTCTATTGATGCTTTCCTTAGCGTTATGTGCGATAAAGTCATTTTCTGACGGGGACTTTTTATGGGCGGTAGGGTCAATTATGGGCCTATCCTTATAAAATTTTACAAAGAGATTTAGGTTCCCATAAAACTTGATTGTGCCGAACTTCACCGCTATTGATGGTTCTCTTAGCCAGTTGTGGGCGATAAAGTCATTTTCTGAAGGGGACTTTATATGGGGGGTAGGGTCAATTATGAGCCTATCCTTATAAAATTTTACAAAGAGATTTATGTTCCCATAAAACATGTTTGTGCCGAATTTCACCGCTATTAACGCTTCTCTTATCCAGTTATGGGCGATAAAGTCATTTTATGAAGGGGACTTTATATGGGGGGTAAGGTCAATTATGGACCGATTCTTGTAAAATTTTACAAAAAGATTTATGTTCCCATAAAACATGTTTTTACCGAATTTCACCGCTATTGCTGCTTCTTTTAGCCAGTTATGGGCCATAAAGTCATTTTCTGAAGGGGACTTTATATGGGGGGTAGGGTCAATTATGGGCCTATCCTTATAAAATTTTACAAAGAGATTTATGTTCCCATAAAACATGTTTTTACCGAATTTCACCGCTATTGATGCTTCTTTTAGCCAGTTATGGGCCATAAAGTCATTTTCTGAAGGGGACTTTATATGGGGGGTAGGGTCAATTATGGGCCTATCCTTATAAAATTTTACAAAAAGATTTATGTTCCCATAAAACATGTTTTTACCGAATTTCACCGCTATTGCTGCTTCTTTTAGCCAGTTATGGGCCATAAAGTCATTTTCTGAAGGGGACTTTATATGGGGGGTAGGGTCAATTATGGGCCTATCCTTAAAAAATTTTACAAAGAGATTTATGTTCCCATAAAACATGTTTGTGCCGAATTTCACCGCTATTAACGCTTCTCTTATCCAGTTATGGGCGATAAAGTCATTTTCTGAAGGGGACTTTATATGGGGGGTAGGGTCAATTATGCACCGATCCTTATAAAATTCTACGAAGAGATTTATGTTCCCATAAAACATGTTTGTACCGAATTTCACCGCTATTGGTGCTTCTCTTAGTAAGGTATGGGCGATAAAGTAATTTTCTGAAGGGGACTTTATATGGGGGGTAGGGTCAATTATGAACCGATCCTTATAAAATTCTACGAAGAGATTTGTGTTCCCATAAAACATGTTTGTGCCAAATTTCACCGCTATTGATGCTTCCCTTAGCAAGTTATGAGCGATAAAGTCATTTTCTGAAGAGGGCCTTATATGGGGGCTAGGCGAAATCGTGGACCGATATTGCCCATTTTCAATACCAAACAAACTGCATCAACTAGAAGTATCTGTGCTCGCTAGCTACTTCCGTTTGAACTCTATCGTGTTTTCAACAGACGGACAGACAGACGGACAGACGGACGGACATGGCTAGATCGTCTTAGAATCTAATAAGGACCCAGAATATATATACTTTTATGGGTCTTAGACGAATATTTCAATGTGTTACAAACGGAATGACAAAAACAATATACCCCCCATCTTTTTTGATGGTGGGTATAAAAATTACTACTAGACCTCTATCGGGTTTGTTGTGCACTTCTTTACAGGGCCTCAGGACCACACTAGAACACTAACCACTAACTTGCCGGAGGCCAGCAGAAGGTGTAGTATATAAAAAATGCAGAGTTGGGTTCTTTTTGTTTTCCAATAGAAGCATAATTTTAAATTGAGAAAAATCTAATCTGAAGTGTTAGGAGAGGGTAAGTATAGAAGTATTAGTATTAAAAGATCTTCTAAATATTTTTTAAAGACAATTGATTTTAGTAATGAATTCAATAAAGATACAAATATTCATAAATCTGTTATATTTATTTGTAATTTAACTGTTAATCTTAATTGCTTGAGCTTTATTTTTTTATACATGTGTATTTTTAGTTACCAAAAATTCTGTTAATAATGTCTATGATTGTGTGTCAGCGAAGCATACACTTTAACCATTGATTTCAGGTTTGCCACTATTTTGAGAGCGGTTGAACCAAGTATGTAAATAAAATAATGTTTTGTGTGAGAGAGTCATATAATTAACTTAATTACATTTATATTTATTACATGAATTCATATTCAACCCCAACAACTCTAAAAACATATTCGTTGTTCATTTACAAATTCAAGCAGAATATTTGTGTGTACAACCTTTCAAATGTACTCGTATGTATTATTAGACGAGTATACAAAAAACATTCAATATACGCATGTAAGTGGTCTAGCAATGAAGAAATGTAGATAAAAATTATTTTGTTTGCTTTTAGAACAATATTGAAGAAATACCTTTTTTATTTATATCATTTTAAATGTATAGAATAGTGAATAACAACCATTATCCGGTACCATCCTAATGAACTCATATGTTTTTACACATTAACCTATAAATATGTATAGTTTGTTGCTCTTTCTGTCCTGACTCCCTCTACCTTTACAAACTTCATTCATTTAAGAGCTTAAATTAGTAGTTGTTGCTGTTGTTGTTGTCGTATTAGTAGTGGTAACTATAGTTGGTTGTAAAACTTAATGTTAGTGTTTCCATTTATGTATTTTTGTGATAAGTATGGTCATGAT